CGATTTCGGCGTAAACTCGCCACAAATATAGCAAAATAAATCAGGACTGTTAACACACACTCGCGACATTTTAGAAGTCAGTTAATATACTAACAAATGCACTATGTTCCATTTGCAAAAGTAATAAGTTTCCGGACTACCCGCATTTTAACTATTGTAGGTAGGTAAAAAAATAAAAAAATATTTATCTCTATAACCAGATGTGATATCGAAATAAAATGCATACAGTATTTTTATATTGGTCAAGCTTATTATGAAATAATATGAATTGGGTCAGATATTTTTTAAGTGTTGAGTAGTGTTATCCAATACATGCTGCGTAGTTTGGCGTCCAGTTGCTTTCTCTTGGTCTATATGTGTTTTTGCCATGTTAACCTTCTGTACAAATGCACGCTCAGGTATTTAGCGTGATCCTCCTGGGGAATTTCCGCTCTATATAATTTACCTAGTGGGCACGTATTTCTTCTAAGCGTAAAAGTTGCATGTGAGGAATTGGTTTGATTCGCTTTTATTCTCCATGTTTCAAGCCATATTTCAATTTCGTCGAGATGCACTTAAAGTTGACTGGATGCTATGTCACAATCTGTGGGTGGACAATACTGCTGTGTCATCTGCATACGTTGCTACATGGTCTTGTGCATTGTGTGAAGGTAGATAGGCCCAGATGGAAATGAAAGTGGACTGTATTTCAAAGGTATATATTAGGTGCTACAATGATCTAAAGTTATAACAAAATCATGCGATCGTGGTCGGGTTATTGTGAGGAGTGTTGAGAGCGCACGGGTCGACGCCGAGCCGTCGCGTTGCCAAGCTGCCGCTCCCCTCTCTTGATGAAGCATGGGTGCATCGGAGGTGTTAAAGTGTGCGTTAACAGAAGGAAAGTAAATATAGTGGGTCCGAGGATACTGCCCTGCGGTACCTACTCCTGAGTTTATCTTGTGGAGCTCAGAGGTCTCGTCAACAGATTTTACTTCGAAGCATCGATTCTGGAGATATGACTGCAAAATGAAGTAAAATGAATGTGGAAGTAAATTCTTGATTTTACACAGTAAGCCATATTTTATCGAATACTTGACTAATATCTAAAATACAGCTGACATCGACTAATCGGTGAACTTGTTCAATTGTTCCGTGGTTCTCTCTGAAGCCAAATTGATGACTTGGTATTTCAAGGTATTTCTTCATCTTGTTCCGAATGATTTTTTCGAACAGCTTCCCTACTACCGCTAGAAGACTTATAGGTCTGTATGACGTGACCTCTTCAGACGGTTTTCCTGGTTTGGGTATCATGATTATTTGTGCTATCTTCTACTGACACGGGAAATGAGACAATCGTAGGCAAGCATTGAAAATTTTGACTATTGCCATAATGCCCGTTTTGGGAAGATTTTTCAGGAGAGTCGCATCTATATTATTGTAGCCTGGAGATTTACCTTCCCGTACATATTTTATTTCTCTATTGACTTCTCTTGGGCACATAATATGCTTTAGCGGTAAACACATTTGCTGAGGACTTTCACGATATTTTGTTATTTCAGTGCTTTGATCTGGAATTGTCCCCGGAAACGGCTTGAAAACTGTGCTTAGATGCTCAGCGAAGGCTGCTGCTTTTCTGCGTCTGATCTTGCCCAATTTCCATGAACCTTTTTGATAGGTGGAATGTGGTTGTTAGGCCTCTTTATCTTATCCGTGGCTCTCTAAAGTGAGTAATTAGTGTCTGCTGTCGGGGTTAGACCTGAAAAGTAAGCTTAACCATTTGAGTTAATTATTGCTCTTAAGTTAAGTTCCTCAGAGCATTTATTGAAGACAGTTTTATCACTGGGATATCTTGTATCATGCCATATTTTTCTCAAATTACGTCGTCACGTATATCTTTTCTTCAATTGCATTCGGGAACTCTTTAAGACTTTGTGGTACTCCTTTTCGTGCCTTGGTTGATTTGGTGGATGCATTGTTGTTGTGTGGATGCATGTGTTTTAATTGGATTTTGTGGCTCATTTTCTGATAAGATAACGCTCTGGTATAGTTTCCAGTCCGTGCTTTTGTTATATAGTCTTACAGGAGGTTTGATAGTATAATCGATGAGTTTGGGTTTAGAACAACTGGCGTATGGTCAGAAGAGAGATCAATACAAGATTCGGTGGTCATATAATTTCTGCCGATATTGTTTGTGATAAAGAAGTCCAGTAAATCCGGTGTTAGGTATATTTGGATCTGTTGGCTAACATGTTGGCTCTTTTCGGGTCATACATTCCACTTTACAAGTTGTAACGGCTTTGTAGAGTTGCTACCACGAGGGGAAATGAGTCTCTAAACTCAATATGTATGTTTCGCATTCCAGTCACGTCCACATATGTACCTGGCCCCAAAGAACTGAAATATGATTTGAATTGTAGTTCTAAGACAGTATGTCTAGGTGGACAGTAGACTGCGGAAATAGTAGTCTCAACGTTATTTCTGAGTTTTGATTTTGATCTGAGATTTGATCTTTACAGTACAGTACTCGTCGAGAACATGATGTTTTATGTTTTCTTTTATTATAACTGCAGTCCCTCCATGGCTGTCACCTTAAGGGTGATTTGTAGTGTAAATCAGTTCCTAACTAACATGACTTTGGAGTAAATCTTGTTTCTGAGACCAAGGCTATGTCAATATTTTCCGTTTGTAGGAAGGTAAGGAGTTCTTGACGCCGTTCCGTCAAGCCATTGGCGTTCCACGTGATTAAACGCAGATTGGGGAGGCCTTTGTAGCGAGGCTTGTGATGAGCTGGATCATGCGATCCATCATTTTGTCCATCATGTTAACCATGACTTGTTGCAGTTTAACGAACATTTTCACTGACTTCAAATAAAAGAGGTGGTACTATGTTCGGTTGATTGTTTTTTTTTTTGTTCGCCGATTAGGTTCTTGTTCGCCGACTCTGCCATTTGCGAACCAATTTCCACAACTTTTGTTTTGTTTGAAAGGGTATACTCCCGAGATGGTCATGATTTCATGAGACATGACCTTGACCATGAAGTTGCGGGTTGAGAAGATTATTTCCTATCTCCTTCAGATACTGGCTTATTAGGCGAGTAGGATCAGGTTATTTAACCGCCGCCTGAGACTCGGCGTTGATCTGTTATGGCTGGTATGAAGTGGTATGGTCTCTACAACCGTCCTCCTTTTTCATACGGGCTTGGGACTGTCAATGGTGGGATTCAAATAAGGAAAACAATTTTTTTATATACGTTTTATTTTACCCATTTTGATGCAGGTACAAATATGACAAACATTAATACGACTGTAATGAACATACATCTAATCAGTCTAATAAGGCATACAAAGTAAACTTTACTAAAATACACAGGTACCAACGAAGTACATAAGTACACGGAATATGTTTGTATAGACGACAGCATAGACAAATATATAAACCAATATAAAATGAACTCTGGACTTAAAGATTCTTGAACGCCAGAGCATACATGTTTCACCATAACTACAGGTCAAGTGAATGATGTGATGCAAAGTAGTCATATTTTTTCATAAAATAAATGTGGCATTAGCGTATTTGTTCATGTTTAATAACCCAATTCGTTTATACAAAATTGGTTTCTAAGCATCCGAAAATAAGGTCTATAATAGAATGAATGAGAGAAGACGCCGGTCTCTTCTCGGGGATTTAGAAGTCAATAATTATTTTGATATAATGGCGCTCAAAAACTAAAAAATCTACACTAGTTTATATTCTTGTTTATACCGTCGACTTCAGTAAGCTACGGGAACAAATTACATTACCCGTATTTTTTATATTATATTATATTATATATGCCTTTGCTCACATAATGGTTATGATTAGATTATTTTACTACATATTACACAAATCAAGCGTAAAATACTATCTCACTTGTATACTTATATTTTTAAAATCCTTTTGTAGCTCGTAACTTCTTCAACTTAAGTCACAACCCCCCAATTGGATTCTATGAAATCAATGACAATAAAAACTGGTAAAGACAAGCAAATAATAAACAAACAATTTTCAAGGAACCATACACGTATTGTACAAAGATTATAAAACTCTAATAAGGAATAACCACGTTATTTTGTTAGCGTTAAGGTCAAGTTTTCTATGGCAGTTTGAAGAATAAAATATTAATTTCAATTTAAATTACACTTATAAGTAGTTCTGTTATTTATCTGAGGAGGCATCACATTATCTTATTTTTTATATATCTTAATAATACAAATATGTTATGTAGGTATTAGGTATGTATATGTGAGTACTGAGGGCTTAGTACAAGTAAGTTCTACGTTTAAAGTATGTAATCGAAACCCGATCGCGATGCGCGCTCAGATTGGTCGGTTCATTGGAGCCGGCCAATCAGAGTGCCGACCGCGTTCTCCTACTTGTACAAATGCCTCAGGTAATAGTGGTAAGGTAAAAAATAAAACGTTACTCTCAACAAAGTATACTTAATACGACATAAATTAAAACATTAATAAAATCTTAAAAATAAAAGTTTTAAAACATACCTACGAGACATAATTGTGGTTTTGTAATAAGATATTTTAAAACAATCAATCTGTAATTCGTTAAAAATCAATTTATAAAAGATTCCTTTCTAAACCGTTACAATTATAACACATTTTAAAAAATCTTTGCTAATCCCATAGGCATATTTAAATTAAAATTAACATGTTGGCTTTGGAAAAATAACCTACAAAACTTATGGTACGCCATAGAGTACATTCTATCCTAAAAAGCCTTACATCCGATTGAAAAAAACGTTTTATGAATTCAAAAATACCACACAATTTCCAGAGCAAACATATTAACTAGGTGTAGATAAAATGCAATTCCTAAATCACAATAATATTAATTATAGGTATCACAAGCTTTACATTTTATCCTTAAACGTCTAAAAGCATCTTCCAGTTGAACCTTCCTGAGCTTGAGTTGATGGAAGGAGGGCAAGGAGGGCAGACGACCTCCCAAGGGTTGTCCTTCATCGCTCCGAGGGCACAGTACGGCACTCTCAGAAGATTTTCATGGATTTTGTAGGGCTTGTGGTCAGTTCTTTTCTCATCGAGGAGTTTAAGCGAGACTGCCATTAAGTCCAGTGTTGCCGCGTGTCCCACGAATATGATGTTGCCACCTGAAAAATAACGAGTAATAAATATGTGAGTAAGCATGTGTCAGCTCTAACTTTGAGTATTGGCATCTAATCTTATCACTACATAGTATAAAACAAAGTCGCTATCCGCCGTCTGTCTGTCCCTATGTATACTTAGATCTTTAAAACTAAGCAACGGATTTAGATGCGGTTTTTTAAAATTAAATAGAGTGATTCTTAAGGAAGGTTTATATGTATAATACATGCATATTGCACCCGTGCGAAGCCGGGGCGGGTCGCTAGTACTATTATAATATAGCTTTATATTATAAAGCTGTAGGGTTTATTTGTTTCTTACGCGCTAATCTCAGGGCGGTCCGATTTGAGAAATTATTTTTGAGTCAGATTATCCATTAATCGAAGAAGGTTAAAACCTCATGTTAGGATCAACAGGCGCCGAGCAGACCGGCTGAAGTAGGTAATAAGGCATATCATTTTTATGGCATAAGCCGGTAAACGAGCCGACGGATCACCTGATGGTAAGCAATCAGCGTCGCCCATGCACACCTGGAACACCAGAGGCGTTACAAGTGCGTTGCCGGCCTTTTGGGGATTAGGAGTTTGAGGATCGTTGGGGATTCAGGAATTGGAGAGAATATAATAATCAAAATAATAAAATAGAATAATAAAATAATTGTTATTTCTTGTAGTTATAAGTAAGCCTTCTGCTATCGGAAGTATAGATGAAGACCACAATATGCAAATAGTATGTTGTGTCAGCGTCACAATGTGGCGATCACCGAACAAGAAACATATCTATACTACATTTGAATTCAAACTAATATTATAAATGGGAAATGAAGTTTGTTTGTTAGTTTTTTCGCTTTATTAGAACTAATTTTCTAGCACGTTTGATTCGTATAGGTAAAGCCGATCTAGAGAAGAATTAAAAGTAAGTAAATTTTATTCGAGATTATTTATTTATTCTTACCGGATTTTTCTGTGTCTCGAACAGCGGACTGCATAACCTTCTCAGTTCGCTTGTAGAACTCCTCGATGGTCTCAGTGGTGTTCACATCCAAGTCGACGTACGGCTTGTAGCTGAAAATTTTGATATTGATCACATCGCAAACTCGTAGTAGAAAGTAAAAATACTTTCACAAAATTACATAAATTGTATTAGAAATTAAGTGCCATGGCTCCATTTATGGTACCTCAGGGTTTGTTGGGGTTGAGAAGTTAGTTTTATGTGCTACAGGACGCTAGGGACGCGACTTTGAGTAACAGTTTGAGGTGACAATTTAGAGATGTTTGGTGGAAAAAAGCAATTAGCTTATTTAGGTTATTTTTAACGGAGACCGTACGGCTGGTGCGGTGGCTGGACAACCGCAACGAGTCGCGTATTCAATTCCCGCACGGAGCAACTCTGTGTGATCCACAAATTGTTGTTCCGTGGGTGTCACGTGTATGTGAAAATTTGTATGTTTGTAAATGCACCCACGACACAGACCAATCCTTGAGTGGAGAAACGTTTTTTTTAAAAAAAAACTATTTCTAATTTAGCCTTACCTCAGGTCGACGTTCAGGCCTGCTTTGTACATCTCCATGGGAGTCATAAAAGGTGCCATTCCCTTAGCCATGTGCCACATCTTATACTCAAAGAGACCAGGGTCCACCCTGATTTTCACTGAAGGATCAGCTTGAAGGCCTGTAAACAATATAGTATGAAGAAACGAAAGAAGTATGTAGAGCGGATATGAATGGGGCAGTCGGTAGAGGGGCCCTAGGCGGACTTACACTGACCACATTGGAGATATATTAAAGAAGGGCCAAATTAAAAGTACCCACAGTCTCTGCCTGCCCATGGGAGACAGGCGTGAAGTTATGTATGTATACAGGGTTACAGGTTAAGTCGACCTAGATCCTTTAAGGGGTTTTAGTTTTCATCATTCCTAGCTGATTTGACCATGAAACACCCCACCCCAAACCAACCCATACTGAGATATTGGATTTGGATTATTTTTTAAATAAAATGAAGATTTTTTGTATAATTGACCCTTTTTTCTGATTTTGTGTCACTAATTCATAGTGTTTTTGCTATTTTTGTGTAGCAGATTAGTTTGTTTATTATCCTCAACACAAAAAAAGCAGGTAACTGAACCAACTAGGTAATAGTCGATTTTAAAGTTCCGAATTTAAAGATAGTGTATCACTATCATCTTTACATAAAGCAGACGAGTATGTTTGTTTGTTTGAACGCGATAATCTTGAGAACTATTGGTTCGATTTGAATTATTATTCTTGTTTTGGGTAGTGAATTTATCGAGAAATGCTATAGGCTATAAAACATCATGCTACGATGAATAAGAGTTGAGCAGAGCAGGCGGAGCCGCGCGGGAGTAGGTAGTCGATATAAATATAAATGAATTTCGCTAAAACTCGAGAACTCCTTAACAGATTCGTCTAATTTTGGTCTTGAAATGTTCGAGGAAGTCCAGAGAAGATTTATTTATTTATTAACACTTCTGTATAACAAACATACGATGGCGGACTTAATGCCGGGTGGCATTCTCTAACAGTCAACCATGGGGTGATGCAGAGATGTGCAACAGTAGGTGTAATAGATTTAAACGGGGAGAAAAAATTTTAGGCGGGACGAAGTTTGCCGTGTCAGCTAAAAGTAAATAATTCGATTACACAATCAACAGCTGTAGCCAAATGCCATTTAGCGCTTGTCTACATGTAGAGTAGAAAACTAAATTATATGGAATTGACGTTAATTTAGACACTTGTCAGTGGGAATCCCATACATTTAGTTTTCTACTCTCTCTGTAGACAAGCGCTAAAGTGGCGTTTGGCTAAAGGTCCAGATTTTGCAACAAGTTTTCATAACAAAAAGAGACCGACTTGCATTGGACATATCACTCACTTGATAGTGATAACAAAATTAAACTATCGAGTGTTATCATTATCATCACAATCACAAATGCACACAAACAATAATTAATTTGTTCGGACTTTGTATACCCTTTATTGTTTTGTTTCTTGTTTGTATTACTCTGTACCGATAATAGTATTGAATAATAACATTTGACAATTACATTATAAGGCCTATTTTGTATACGGAGCCGCGGAAGACTTAACAGGTTGCCGGGGCTCCGGCTCGAAGTGCAGGAGTAGGAACGGGGTGGTTTTTAGTCAGTAAGAGTCTGACACTCCCTCCCGCCTCACCCGGGAAAGTCATTGGATGATTTTCCCCTTCAAAAAAGGCCTCTTTTGTATCTAGCTATGTATGTATTACATATATTATACATTATGTTCATTTGTTTATGTGAAAACTTAGCTGGCAGCTTGAATCACGGAAAGTTTCATTGTAAGGGCCACAGACATAACATCATGCAGTTTGAATGTACCATGTACTTTTTGCCAGCAATGTGTTATGACTTCCATGACTATGTGTTAGGCTTGCCTACTTACACATTCATCGAGCAGTATTCAATCACTAATTTAACATAACATAACATAACATCATGCCTTTTATCCCCGAAGGGGTAGGCATTACGGCACTTAATGCCATTGTACAATGTAACACCCACTTTTCACTATTTATGTTATGAGTCCCATGTAATAGGGGGTGAGCCTATTGCCATATACCGGGCACAATTCCATACCCCGTGCTAATACTGAGATTTTTTGAAAAAGCCCAGCAATTTTTTGCCCGACCCGGGAATCGAATCCGAGACCCCTTGCCCAGCAGTCGCAATTGCGACCACTCGGCCAACGAGGCAGTCCATCACTAATTTCTTGCACCATTATTTCAAAATGCAAATGACCATCTTACCTTCAAGGAAAGCGTGCGCAGTTTCAACGCATCGCAGTGCAGCCGATGCGTATACGTGCTTGATGGGTATGCCAGCCATTCGCAGGCCTTCGCCCACCAGCTGCGCTTGGAAACGACCTACTCGCGTCAAAGGAGTATCTTTCATGTAAGAATCCGCACCACCAGCCCTAAAATTATGATGGTGATTAATATTTTTTAATTCGTCGGTTCGGCTGCAGTTCTGTTCGGTGATTAGCATTTGCATCAAGTATATTTTGCGCTATACTGTAAATCTCTATAGAACTTTTTTAGAATAACAATTGATCGTAGTATCCAGTTATTTTAACTAGTAAAATATTTTAAAATGTTCTAATTGGAGTCAAATAGAGCTCCAATAGGACTGGATTTGAAAAAATTTGAACACTAAAATCATTGTTATGCTTTTATCATAAATGTCAACATCATTAATTGTTACTGATTCTATGAAACGCTTACCTCTCCCCCAGCTTCAGGGGTAAGTTCAAATCCTTCCTGGTGTAAGTGCCGTTTTGGTCGAAACAGAAAGGCACCCATTGTCCGTACGTAAGGTCCACTCGCTCGCCATGGCGCATCGCGAACAGCCAGCGACGATGTTTCTCGTCAGTTTTATTAACCTGAAATGAGGGCCAAACTTTAAAATTATGGAAACACACTGGATGGACGACCAGTGACTTTGAGGGAACTTCGAGAACAGAAATTCTGGTATCGCATGCCAAAAATTCGCTTTAGGTCGCTGAGCCACAGCCGCAGCCCGCAATATTAGGTAATCTTCTTCATACACATAATACAGCTGCTGACCAATATATATGTTGTATTAAACGTGTCTAACAAATTCACGTTAAAATAATTTGATCACCCAAATATGGATTAGGAACTCTAAACTAATGTGGTATTGCGCAATCTGTGTGATGATGACTAATTAGGTAAGTGTCAAATAACATTATAAGAACTCATTCATAACCAGACTCTCTCATAAGACGAGAAGTCTACTTTCCGACGATTCCTAAGAACGCACAATTAATTAGTTTGCGACTTGGAACGGTTATCGTCATAAATAGGTATTATTCCGATGCCATGTTTTTGTTCATTAAAATACTGCCTTTATATTACATACATACTTAAGTCTTTTTAATCTAGTTTTGAAAACACCAATTGTCAATTCTATTTAACTGACTAAGGAGGTTATATCAATTTCAAAACATTGTAATTGAAAACATTCCAAGACATAAAATAATCATTGCATTTACATAGATAAGATATTTAATTGCATCGATGCACCACAAGGATGTATAAAAGTCCTTCTTATCGACATGACATAATCACATCATATTCACGACGTTTTTATTCAAATTTCATCAATCAATATATTTCGAGCATTTAGCCGTCAAAATAAAGTTATTATCTTTCCACGATATCGCCACGGTAGTTGAATCACTGCACTTTTAATGCGTTATCAATCTTATGTTATCGCTCGACCGATACATCCATCTTATAAAGGAATATCTGTCAAATTTTATGTACTTATTCATGATGATTTTGTACTGTAGAGAAATGTTTGTTTATCTTAGAGATGCAGACATTTTTATCATCGCACCGCTCGCCATCGACAGGGGGTTCACGCTCACTCATTGGAGCCAAAATGGTCCCGTACAGTTCGGTTTCAGAGGAATTTTCTCCTACGGACCCTCCGATTGTGGAATGAGCTCCCTGCCGTGGTTTTCCCAGTGGGCTACAACATGAGGTACTTCAAGAGGGCAGTGAATAGGTTTCTTAAGGGTCGGCAAGACACATGTAATGCCCCAAGTGTTGCAGGCGTACATAGGCCACGGTAACCGCTTACCATCAGGTGGGCCGTGTGCTTTTTTGCCACCGTGGTGGAATAAAAAAAATGCTGTGTCGAGTACCTACGTATATACCTAATTATTAATTTATTACTTCCGAAATGGTGAGGTGTTAGTTTAAAGCAGTGATGTTACATATTTCCGCGAACTAGTCTCATTGTATCATAGTATGCAGATATAAATATTATCTATGTATACATAATAAAACAAAGATATTTTCTATGACTTATAAACATTTGAAGACTAGTTCGCGGAAATTTTAGGAAGTTAGTTTGTATTAGTAACTCTTATAGAAAACATGAAGATATGGTATGGATACGAATTGTCGATAAAATAATACATTTCGTACATTTTTTTTTAATAACTTTCGTGAGACATACTAAATTTACTAAAAAATCGCAGGTATACTCACGTGAATATACTGAGAAAAAGCTTAAGCTTAAGAGAATTTAGCTCTTCTAGCTCTGCTTTTATTAACCTACTATTTTTAGTGAACATTTCCTAAACAAATTAGTTAGCAAGATTATGAATCGCAGCAATACTTTAATACATTTTAAACTTAACTAGATCTAGTAGGTATAGAAGCTTAAATGTAGGAATTCCATCATCTACTTGGGATGGTCACTATTTTAAATTATGGCTCCAAGATCCATTATACATTATGATCGGTAAACATTCACCTTCGTCATGTCGACGACCCAACAAAAAATTGAATGCTTGTAAGATTGAATGATCCAGGATAAGTTTCCTAGCACCCCTGTTTCAAACCGGTTTTGTTACACAACAACCTTGACTGATAATTTTATTATTACATAATACGAAGGGGTCCTGTACCAGCTGCGTTATCGATACCGGTTTGTAGGGAGATAAAATGACCGCCGTGATACTCGACGAAAGCGTAACGCATTTTTTTGAAAATATTTTTTATTATATTTTAGTCTATTGAGTTACGATCAATTATTGTGTTGAATCGGTTTGTTGACTGCATTGCCGAAAGAATGCATCGTTAGTCGAGTGATTGTAAGAACAACTTCAAAGAGTTTCCGTTACGATTCACGGGAAAGACAATGTATTATTAGAATTTTCAATAAATCTTTTAGAAACTACGTTTAAAGAAAGCGACTTCAATGTTCTCTTTTGTTAAGTCGGTTAAATAATGAACTAAACACACAAAATAAAAAAACCCCTTGGAAATAAGTTCATCCAATCGCAATGTAATCGGGCACAAACACATACGGGTCAAACAAAGAACCTCCTTCTTTTTTTGAAGTCTATTAAAAATGTCAGTATTCGAAAAAAGTGTACCACTGCATTCCCGTCGGGGATAGACATAGCGTGATGTTTTTTAAGTAGACATTCCTGTCCAAACGGGACGGAGAGCGTGATGTCGACAACTGACACTACAAAAAATTGAAAAGGTATATATCCAGTTTCTATTTTGTTTTAAAAAACGTCTACATTCATCTAGAGTGGACGTGGTAGTTTTATTACACTTGTACCTCTACTGGTGCATGTACTACCCGAAACTATTGTAAGTCTTTCTATTTTTAAACTGGCTTTAAGGACTTTTAGGACTATTTTGAAATTAGTACCGGTGACAGGCGTTAGCGGAGGATTTAATTCAACAGTTTTTTATTGGCACTCAAAGTCTTAATTAAAAAACTTATCATCAACAACTAGTATGCGATTTTTGGGAATTAGAGGAGACTTTAGCTAAAATTGACCTTATCTCCTGTTTATCCCTATCTGAAATTAAGTAAATCTTACGATGTCTCACAAAGCGAGAAGGAAAGAGAAAACATCTTGAACTCAAGTAATTTACAGATAGAATACACCTCATTTTTTTTTTAATCTATCTTAGATTAAATATAGATATTTTAATTATTTTGACATGCATCGTGCATGATTGTTTTATCTATTGCCACGTTGCAGGTACGACATCACTGCTCATTAAGTGATAAAAAATACCTTTTTATTGCATCATCGTATTCAAAATATAAAACAAATATAGATAAACATTTTTATAAGATTAGATGGTTAACTTTCTCCACAAAATGTAGTCATAGGTACACATGCTCCAGATAATTAAGATGGTCCATACAGCCCTCAGACATTACTAGGTTCTATTTTCTAGGCTCTAAGTTTGTATTCTGCTAAGCAAAATTATTTTCTGATGCAATTTGAGTAAAGATTAAAATGATTAATTATAATATATTGGTAATATTACTCACATACGAATCTGTTCCAAACTTGCTGCTATTACTCTTCCAATCAATGGAAACATCTGAAACAATAAAAATAATGTACATAACATAACATCACGCCTTATATCCCCGTAGGGGTACTTTTCACAATTTACTATGTAACACCCACTTTTCACTATTTATGTTACGAGTCCCATGTAATAGGGGTGAGCCTATTGCCATATACCGGGCACAATTCCAGATTCCGTGCTACTACTGAGATTTTTTTTAAAACCCAGTAATACTTTGCCCGACCCGGGTATCGAACCCGAGACCCCTTGCCCGGCAGTCGCACTTGTGACCACTCGACCAACGAGCAGTAAAATAATTTTGTTTGCTTTATTTCCACAAGAACTCAAGACAATATTGAAAGAAATAGCAATTTATTTATTTTATAATGTATGTATGTACACACAGCTAAGAATACACATTTATAAAATCACATAGGTGCTACATGTTCCTATATTTTATTGTACACCAGAAATTTTAACAGAACAACGCTTCAACTCTTACTCTACTATTTTCTTGGCACAGCATTACTCATACTCTACTGCTAGAACATTATTCTTATTTAGGATCATGTCTCTCATATAGAAGAAGATATGCCAATAATAGAAATATTTCAATTACAACTTTAGCTAAGATATATTTAGTTTGAAGTGGTATTTCTCCGAAAACAAAAATGTAGTAAAAAAATTTACTCACTCTGCGGTACGTCCATTATCCCATCACTCTTATTGGTTTCGACAGCAGTCCAATACTTGCCCCATTCTTCATATGTCTGCTCAGACTTCTCATGACCCAACTGGGCAGCGTCTTCATGAGGATAACTACTCGCCATTTCGCCGTCCGTATTAGAATCAGATTCGGACTTACAATCTGAACCTAAAATAGAGAGGAGTATAAGAAAATATTTAAAATTCCCGTGACACGCGTTCATTATATCGCGGCTGTGGACTCCAGGCAACTGGTCCAGCGAGGAAAATGTTACCTATTAGTAGTCCACAGTGTTTATTGAATCTTTAATCTTTGCCTTATTATCAAGAAATTGGAGGAGCTGCGACAATATTTGATCGTATGTACAATCGTGGACAAATGTTACGACGCGTTTTTGTTCTTAAACTAGTATTGTTTACAAAAAAAATAAGTGGTGAATGGTCGAAGTACCCTATTTTTAATCGACTCCCCAAACAGGAGGAGGTTCTCTATTCGATCGGTATTTTTTTTTGACACTAGTTTGGCCTTCAACTCTAGATCCACCCAGAGTTTTTGGATTAACACGTTACAACGCCATGGGGGTCACAGGTGACCGACATTAACTGGGGTTGGCCTTCCAACAGTTTTCAATTGGCAGTCAAAGCTTTAAAATAGTTTATCATTTTTGGTCATCAAATTACTAGAACGCAATTGTGCTGCAACTCATTTTATAACTACGCGACTGTACCTCAGAAATCAGCCAATACGTCAAAGTTTGCTTTGAAACTACATAATATTGTTTTCATTATCTCGAGCGAGTTATTGACACTTCTTGTGTCCAATCAATTCGGTATTTATTTAAAACATGTCATGGACCGTATCTTACGAGTTGGTACCTCATACATAAGTTATGTCCAATTATAGTTATTGTGTACTATATTCCAATAGGTCAATGACTACCAAAAGTAATTAATAGTATAGTCATATAACATAACTAGTTTATGCCAACGGCTTCGCTCGCGTTCTCATGCAGTGAAAGTAGCTTATACGTTATCCCAGACCACAATCTACCCATACTTCTGATTTCTCCCAATCCCTTCAGCCGTTTTGACGTTAAGCAGTGACAAACAAACATACAATCTCTTGCAAATTAATTAGTAAGATTGTCTGTTGCTGACCACACTTAATAATCTTTATTGAGAATTATCATTGAATATATCGCGTAATAGTATCGCGGAATCCCCGTTCCTATTGTTACACTTCGAACCGGAGCCCCGTTAACCTTTTACGTTACGGCATTCCAAATTATTAGCTATATTCTTCGGCAACGGAATGTTTGACAAAGGCTTTTTTAATTATTTTAATCAACGTAGCCATTTTCGCTTCTAGTGCCCTCTACAATGCTTTTGACAGTTTACAAGTTATAGTCAATTTTATAAAATAAATAGTCTTTTACTTAGATTTTTTATTATAATTGCTAGTGCAATTGATTTGTGACTTCCTATAGATTAACCACTGCGTATTAAAATAATGACTTAGGTACATACATAGGTGCTAAATGCCTTTATGTATATTTCATGCACTTAGAACCTTTATACTCGATCAAATCAAAATCAAAATCAAAATCATTTATTCATTACATTTTGGGTAAATAATTATGATCACAGTATTAAGTTAGTACCACCAAAATCTGCCCTCACAGGCGTATGAAATATTGTTAGGCTAAGTCAATAAAGTTATTATAACAAAAAAAGAAAATCAAAATGTCATAGTATAATACATTAAAATGTCAGTGCTTAAATAAATAAAAGTTAAACTTATAAATGTCCTACAAATTACCGTCATTAAAGAAGTCATTTACATTATAATAACATTTCTTGGATAATACGGATTTTAATTTATTTTTGAATATACTAATATTGAATTGTTTTATGTCGTTTGGGATTTTATTGTATATTTTTGGCGCCATACATAAAAGACTCTTTCCCATAAGACTCGTTACTGCTGTGTGAAGACACAGCTTATTATTGTTCCGCCGATTTCGCGGCACAATATCACGCAGCCGTTCGAAAAGGTGAGGATTTCTATGCACAAACATTGCTACCTCAAGTATATACAGAGACGGAAGTGTAAGGATGCCATGCCTGATAAAGTGCGGTTTACAGCTGTCTGTTGGTTGAAGACCAAACATAGCTCGTACGCATCGTTTTTGTGCCTTAAAAGCAATATCACTATCCGTAGAGTTTCCCCAAAAAACTATTCCATATCGCAATCTAGACGCTGCAAGTCCATGATAGGCGGTAAGCACAGCGTCAGTATTAACTATCGAGGCTATTTTGTAGAGACCGTAAGCAGTGCTACTTAGTTTTTTGGAGAGGTCAGCTACATGGTTTTTCCAGTTTAGTTTTTTGTAAATAATTAAGCCCAGAAATTTGGCTGAATCTGCTTCCTGTAAGGGCTGACCATCGTAACTAACAACTATGTTTTGGTATTGGGGTCTTTGACTGAAGTGCATAACTTGGGTTTTTTCCAAATTGATTTTTAAATTGTTATTGTCCAACCAGTGGATTATTGCGGATAGACAATTATTTATGTCATTTTGGTACATTTCACTTGCTCTACATTGGATGGAAACTGTACTATCGTCAGCAAACAATGACATTGGATGTGTATATATTATAATTGCATGACTCAACTTCTTTGTGTTATTCCAAAGTTATTTTTATATGAACTGTGGCTTTTCTGACCAGTCTGACTGACTAAAGTTAAACTAAAAACAATAAAAATAAACCTTTATCAAAGTGTGAATGTGAACACGTTAAATAAATAACTTGCAATGATAAAGTTTAATGACATGATCTTGGTCTCATCTTGTAGATTAACATAGACTATAAACATTTTGAGTCATCAGAACAAATTAGTGAGGTCATATCTACGCAATAACAGACTATCATGTCATAAAAATCATTAACACTCTGTGCTTTTCATTAAAGTCGATTTCTTACAGAGAAAAACAGATTCAAAGTTGAACAACACCAGGTTTTTTTTTTAATGAAGCTGTCAATCTATAAATATTTTATCTACAAATAGCGTGCTAGCGAATGTATGTATGTAGTTTAAACTAAACTAAACTGACGTAAGGTCAAGTTAAATTTGTTAAAAAGATAACTATTAGCGTTAGTCACCAGTGCTGACATAGCATGACTTTGTAAATTCGGTATCTGGTTTACAATTTGTGAACTTTTCAGTCAAATTCAAAATTCATAGAATGCACGAGACGGAAACAATCCACTGAGTAAGTCCATGAGTGATAGTCCGCTGCTGGACCATAGTCCGGAGGCCCATAGGCGTCCTGTCTTTTTCTTTCATACTCCTGTATCAGACGCTATCACATTATTGATACCATTCCCTTCGGCACTTTTCCTCAATAATCTATGTTTCTTTTTAATATAGAGGTATATTTAATGGACTGACGTTTGACGTATTAGAATCAGATTCGGACTTACAATCTGAACCTAAAATAGAGAGTAGAGAGTTTCACCTAATTTCACTGACGGACTGACTGACAGACTATTATTTATTTTGTATTTGTTGACGTTTCAAAAGTACCAAACTATGGTTTAATTGAAATAAATTTGACTTTGACTTTGAAAGGAGTATAAGAAAATTTGCCCACTATCTCGCCTGGTGCTAAGCGATGTGCGGTCTACGATGGAGCACGTCGACCCATAAGCAACTTATTCAGTCGGGCCTTTTTATCTGTACCTTAAGTCTATTTAATTATACTATTAATTAAGGAAAATTAATCTTAAAAAGCACCCATGCCTACCATTAAAAATGTAGGCGTAATGTTACATTTTATCGTTTGAATACGACCTTGTCCCTATCTTCTTGATTAGCTAATCCTATAAATATGTATTCTGATTCACTAACTTTGCATTTGTATCTAATTGCCCATTGTCATTGTCTGTGTTAATTTTGTTTTTTGTTTGTTGCATTCATTTTGTAAAAACACCATAGGAATTTTAAATGAGATATTGTTTTCGAGCTTACAAAGGCAGGCACTAATCTAATATGTTTTGAGTAACAATAAAAAATTTTACGGCAATAAATGTTTTGAATAAATAAATATTGATTCACTACCTGCCCCGGCAAACTTCGTACCGTCCAATCAATTTTTTTTTCTCACTTTCCCTGAACTTCCGCGAACATATCAAAATTATTTGGTTCTCGAGTATCTATTGTTTAGCGAGACTAACGAAGGGAAATTCATTTATATGTATTTATATAGATTATTATTTTCAAAGAAAATTCGTTCCCTTTTATAACTATCACCAAAATATTCAGGGCATAAAAGAATCCATTCATACAATTACATCATTTTTCAAATCACCTAAAACATACACACGCACACACACGAATATCTACATACCTACTTAGATTCATAGCAAACTAGATACAAAGCGCGTATGCCAGAAATAGACTCGTTTTATTAAAACAACGCCGTATAGAGAGCGCCAAATTCAAACGAATCTTGTTCCTCGTCCAACTACGCGTGGCATCCGGAAAAACCAGTCTACAAAACCACCCTCACCTATTCCAATACGAGTCGGACCCTTCCGTAGCGACGCTCCGACTGTAAACAAAGAACCACCAAAACATTGGGGGAGAAAAAGAAACCTTACCAAAATTCCGATAAGCCGTAAATTTCCAACCGCATTCGAACAATGAACGCACCTAAATCTATGTGGCATAAGGTTTAAGGTATAACGTGAGCATTAGAAGCGTCGCTCGTGGTCTGTATAATATAAATAAGTCCTATTACATTCGATTGAGCACAATCAATTTTACGTTAAAGTCCTATAATGTTGGGTACATATCGTGTATTATTACAATATCGCACACTTTAATTGTAAACACTGTACAATGACACTTACACGTGCCGGCGCCGCCAAAACAGCGAGTGAATAAACGCCGGTATTTTTTCTTAAGTATTTCAACTTCTTTGTGATCCCACTCTGGATTTTATGCGAGTCAATTTATGTTTAAATACTTTAATAAATTGGCAATCAAATTCTATCAAGTAATTTAGGTTGACAATTGTACACATAAAAGTTTAGTCTGTCGTGTTTAGAAGATAATAATTATTGGAAGTATTGACCCAGGCTTTTGATCGCATTTTTATACATAAAATAACAAAATAAATCTCAATATTACTACTTATCTGCTAAATTTGTGTAACGTAGCTGTTGATTCACCGTGAAATAAATAAATAATATAATAAAAAAAATATATGTACACTAAGTAAATAAATGGTGTAAATACTCACTGTTTCCAAGTGATATTGCTCGATGGAGTGTCCAAGCATCAGACTCCGCTGTGCGTCGAGTGAACACGGCCGGCAAATAACCACTGACGCCTACAAAGCAATGCAAAAAACAGAGAATAGACTTAGGATATGACGCTAACGCTTGTTTTATACCTAGTGCAGTATACATACTAAAATAAGTGATAAATTAGTTAGCAACCTACATTAATTGTCACGTCTTTTAAATACACGGCTATGTATAAAAATTCACACTGTTCACAAATGTTAAGAAAATTCTATCCTATCATTTTTATTGAAAACGAAAAATTCACATTTTAGAAAATCTTGTTTTAGAATATTCTTTAAGTACCTACCCTCAAAGTTTAATCAATAATAGGTCTTTATGTACGCAATAAGATCTATTATTGCGTACGACCCAACACCCAAAATGACAATGTTAGCAAAAAATTCAAAGAAAAAAAAAACGTTTAAAAATATACCTTCAGGAATGATACCGCGAAATTTGTATTAGTTAGTTGTAGTAAAACAAGTACTAGTCGTTGAGGTGTTAGACAGCGAATAGCTAAATCTGATTGAGTATCGATTCTTATATGAAAATAGGAAAATTCATAATTTCATATCTCTACAATATCAGAGATAAGATACACTTTACGCATATACGTTTTTATTAAAACAGACTGATTAATTTGCCTGACGTAGCTGATTAGATGAATTTCTTTCAAAAAGAAGTTAATATCATTCATTATACCCACATATCAAATTGACTCATAGCATGATGAAAACCTGATTTGATAATCAGTTTAATACCCATATATTATCATCGCTAATGTAAATTAAAGGATCAGCGTCCTTGTTTACGGTCGATACGAATTTGACCACAAACAAGGTTAGCGTTCGACATTGACCATGATATTACACAACAATACTAACCTCCAATTTTCAAGTTCAACACGGCAAAACTCTTGATCAATCGCGTCATCGTTAACGTCACGTGATAAAAAACAATATCGCAAGTCACTATATTACTAATCCAAAGTCGATACTAAACGTGCAAATTTTAGTTCAAATCGAAGCCAAAGACCGAGAAATAGACGCTATCTTTGTTTGAAAAACAGCTGACAACAGATATAATACTGTGCGCCGGTTGGCTCGTTAATCTCAAGGGTACCTCACATAGGCCGCGAATACACAAAGCGCCAATTGTAAGCCGTATCTAAAAAACGATTATTAAATAAAACCGATACACATAGTTGTTGCAAGCGTTATTTCACGCGACTCGACTGGGGAGATAAAAGCTACAAACTAAAGGGAATAAAAGCTACAAGCGAATGGGGATAAAAGGTCCAAACTAATTGTAGGTGGCGACACAAGCGATCTTTTCGAACACCCTTTTGCCCGCTGCATGCCTCGTATTGATCGCAGCGTGATGTTTCATAGCGTATTGATTTTCCCGATAGGTACATAAACTATACAATACAGGAAGAATTATTCAATTCGAATCAGCAATTCCGGAGATTAGGGCGTTCAAACAAACTAACTCTTTAGTTTTATAATATTATAATAAATTATGTACGTAGAGATTGTTTGTGTAATTTTGATAATGATCAATGTAGTAGCTATAGAGTGTAGATATTCAATCTAGATTTTTCTTCGTGGCTGTTTATTTTCCCGAAGTTTTAACCATATAACGTTTTTAAAGATGAAATATCTGATAAATGAATTCCCATATTGTTTCAATTAAAACAAGTTTAGTCATATTTAGAAGATATAAGTACTAAAAAATAAGGCTTCCCTATAAAAACTGTATGTTAAATAACATATGACACATGCCCGCTTGAAGCGACACCTAGCGTGATCAATTCGCAGTTCTTATCCCCATTAGAGCTCTAGTTGTGTGATGCAATGCGTCGGCTATTGATAACCGACGTTATACGTAAACTAGTTGTGAGTTATAACGTGTTGTGTATTTATAACTAATTTCTGTAGACGGTAGACAGCTCTATTATGTAGAATTCATAATCTTATTCAAGAAATCTATTCATACAAAGAGGTCATGACTATACCTAATATGCAAATATGAATTATTGTCATAGAAATTGCTTTGTAATGGTAATTTGTGTGGTTAGAAACGTACCTGTAAGCCAGGATGTACCATGCACCCAGCCGTCAGACGTATTAGCGAATTCCTTTTCTTCGATATAAATATAGTCGCCAAGTACTAGTTCAAGCTCATCGCTCGCTTTAGGCGCGTAACCTTGAGTCACTTTATGAACCTAACGACAACAATTCTAATGTTTAGTAATCATTCAAATGTATTACATAAGCTTAAGTATTGCTAATTGTTATGTGGAATTAATTAAATTATTTCTACTACAACTACCATTCACGGCTCTACCGAGTTCTTATTACTATATCTGAGCAACCAATTTATTTTTTTATAATTAATGATATCAATAAAAATCAAGTTACAAATAGGGCTACCGAATTCATTTAAACTTAAATCGTAATTCAAAAAACAAGAGATACCTATTTTTTTATTTAAGGAATTATTCTCCTTCCTGCTCTTATCCCAAGTTATTTGGGGTCTAAACAATCCATGAAAAAAAATCTTATTTATACCACAATTAATATTAGCTTCCCTAGATAAATCCACAATACAACACAAAAAGAATTATTCAATTCGACTTAGTACTTCTGGAGATTGGCGCCTTCGAATAAACCAACTCTTCAGCTTTATATAATAAAAAAGTAAAGTATATAAGATACGTCAAAATATATCATCAGCCAGTTAAGATTAACCGCAACTAAATAAGGTGGTGAAATAGGGTCTAAATACCAATTCTGCCATATACCTGGTGGTTAGCAAATCTTGGATCTCTGGAGTACAGCCTCAGTTCCCAGCTGGAGTGGTCCGAAGGTTGCATGCCATCCACCAATGCTTTCAGAGCATCATACGCGGCCACATCAAAATGGTACGCCAATGTTATATGCAAGGACTTCACATGTGCTTCCAAGTTTATCGCTGTTCAGGAAAAAATAATTCGTGTGATAATCGTTTTCCTTAATTAACAAATATATGTAGTTGTATTAATTGGAATCTGTTATATCGTGTTCGCCTGCCTAACAGGATTGGTTCAAAAAGGTTCGGTACATCGCGTGCTATTTCCCGAGATTCTTGGGAAATAGGGTAGTTTCCTAAATTTCATTTAATGTCCGTTTGGTACTCTGGTAGATTAATTTAAAACATGACACACATATTTTTTTTCTCACAAAATTAAATACTTTACACTATATTATGTTTATTTGAAATATCGGGTGACTTGCAAAAAAATGTAGCACGTTGTGACGTCACGATCTTCCACTCATAAACTTAACTCTATTTTATCTAAGTATTGTGACTTTATACGAAAAAATAAAAATACGTGTTTAATATTTTTCCATTATCTAACTCATGGACTAATTAAATTTTTAAGTTTCATATCCTGCCAATAACCTATTGTCTGGCTTCTCAAATGTGAAATGAATTGATCACAGAAATAAGTATACTTATTATATGTACTTAAGTATGTAACAAATTCATACATATAGTTGTCAGGAAACATAAGCGCCTAATTCCTAATCCTGCCTTCATAATGAAATGTAGTACCTAATAGTTATTACAGCATACCATAAAAATCTCAGTGCGATATTTCTCTATTAAATTATCTTTTGTCATGAAAGGATTAAGCCTAAGCTCTTATTAACTAAACGATATCGTGAATGATATTTCTTTTCTTAACTAATCTGAGGTTGTTTGCAGGCCGTTGACCTAATTTTGTCAAGGTTAACTGTTAAAGTGTTGAGCGCCAAAATGGGGCACCAGTTCAGCATGTGCAAGACAGGGCCTAGCGCTGGTACTACTTATTAATAATTGATTACCTGCCGTACTGTTAGGTGAAACAGAACTCCAAAAATTAAGACTGCGATGTCAATGCACATTGATTATATTTAAAGGCTTTAAGATTTATTTTTTGCTTATTCCATTTGTTTATTTATTTTTATTTGTAACAAACGCATAACCACGTAGAGCTAGGTTGGAACCCTTACAAAGTACAGATTAACCTAGTCAGCAGATTACGTTGCACAAACCCACATAAGTTTTAAATTAATGTATCGCATGCACCGTGAAGTTACGTCCTTGCTGAAATGCAATCGACACGACTTTACATTAAACTCCAAGATTTTTTCGATCAAATACACGTCTGTATTACAAAATGTATTATGTTTCAGAAGGAAAAATATAAGGCGTATAAATCACACAGCATCTACAATTGGGTAGTTTCCAGGGTATCAAAGTTAAAAATATAATTAGTCCGTCGGTTAGATAATGAAAAAATATTAGACACGTATTATTTTCTCGTATTACGTTGCAGTAATTAGATAACATGGCGCTAAGTAGGAGTGGAAGGTCGTTACGTCATAACGTGCTACAAAATGTGACAAGCTGTGACGTCATACGATATTTCAAATCAATATATCGTCGAAAGTATTTCATTTTGTGAGAAAAGAAATATGAAATATGCGTCTAAAGTTTTAAATTAATGTACCTACCAAACGGACGTTAAAATAAAATTTAGGGAACTATCCTATTCGACAATAAGGTAGGAAGCCGTTCTCTGATAACTCTAAATTTAAGAAAAATAAATATCAAGAAAAAGCAAAAAAAGAACAAAAACCTTTATGAGTCATTAAAGAAGAGTAACTGCATTATAACACACCTACGCGCGGTATTCCGTCCGATCGAGATATTATTTTTTTTATTTACTTGTTCACCAACAATTGGGATGATGACAGGGTATGAAAATTAAAAATCTAATTAGTCCGTAAGTTAGGTAATGAGAAAATATTATATATTTATAAATATATTTAAAAAACGACTACATGAATTTTTGGTAACTAAGTGCTATTATAAAATTAATGACTATTTAGATGAAAGATGCTAGACCTGCTATATCCGATTTGCAATATATGTAAATTTTTGGTTTTTTCAAAAAATGTAACCAACCCTGACTATCTTGGGTGATTCTAATCAGATTAATCATAGATTTGCCTATGTCGAACGTACATATGACATTCTATACTCTTAATTTTCCTTTTTTTGACCACTTAAATTTTGATACATACTGACATTGGATTCTATGTAATTTTGTGCTTATCATGACATCCCATATTATTATATTCCTTAATTAAATTATGACATTTCGCATTAGGGATTAAAGCTCATGATATGACTCATGACGATGGTTCAGTGGTTTAACCCCCATAATAAATGTCTTATTCCTGTGTAGATACTTAAATGACTATTAACGTATTTTTGTTTTCTAATTTAAATTAATCTATTTACTAAAACTCATATGAATTTGTATGCTTTAAGGCAAAACATAGACGGACTCGCTGTATTGCATTGTATGTCAATCATTCAAACAACTTTATATAACCTATGTTTACAAATAAACGATTTCATTTCATTTCATTTCATTAGACAAGTATTTTTTTTATTTTGTCATATAATAAAACAATACTTAGATAAAACGAATCAAAGTTTAGTAGGGGATAAAACGTCATTTCTACGTATAAAATGTACATAGAAGTGACGTCACGCGACATTTAAAATATTCGTTTCTGTCAGAAAACAAAAAATACGTGTCTAATGATTTATCTCGTTGAGTACCGTCATTATAGACTCAATTGAAGAACAATAGGTTGCGGTCACCAGTGACCGCTCGGTGTTTGCCAGTTAATAATCTACCAGACGGACAATAAATTAAAATTAGGCATCTACCCTATTGTACCTACCGTACACCTACTCTGTACACACTACCTTTACCTAATACCAATTTAGTATCCAAACCACCCTTTTAACCAAATCCATAATCATGCATTTAAAATAATACATAAATTCTATTAACATAGCAGAAGAAGGGGATACCCCCTTCATTGCAAATCATATTTCACCAATATTTACCTGAAAAGCTCGTTGGACATGCTCAAGAAGTCTGGTACTGCTTTAGCCTATGAAATAGCTGATAAATAAAAATTAGAGCAATGAAGATAATACTAAATAATAACTAAATAAGCTTAAGCTATGAAGATTAAATGAAACATTCTGCAAAAAAAATATTCCTATCTTTTTAATGTTTGACATACATATCAAAAAATATTTTTTTTATATCTGTCTAAAGTTGGGTAAAATTATGTACCCTTGCCACAAAAAAATGTATGTTTCTTAATTCCTAAGACATTTAAAGCTTTAAAACAAATTAAATGTAATAATTATATGCTAGACATTGTTGCAAAACTAGTCCCTAAGGACAATCTTACATTTGATAGGCTTCTCTTGAGGCATGGTGCACCATGGGAAACAAGTTCCCAATGCATCCAGATGTTCATATGTATCCACCATAACACCCACTATAAAATAATATTAGGCAGAATTTTACATTATATACATAATACAGGATCTACAGGGTAAACTATTGAAGTCATACAATAAATACATGGTTATGTTTATTTCCAGCCCTTTGCTAATAATATGGAAATGGAAAGGATATTAAAGGGGATGCCATATTATGCTGAATTAACTAAAAATGACTATACTGAGAAAAGCTCTACTAGTTTCAAATCAAGGAGGGACTCTTCCTCATGAGCAGCGTGCGTGGTCGCGGCGATGTCGCGCAGACTACCGTATGTTTACCTCAGTAACCCGTCATTTTTAGTTAATTCAGTATAGACATAATGATACGATACTTTTTATAAAAACATTGTTATGTTCATCATATTTCTATTCTATGCCAAGTACCACTTATAGTTTTATCATAGCACTTGAATACAAATATCCACTTGAATCAACAAAGATGCATAATTTAATATGTTACAGCTAATCAGTTAATGGTGATAAATACTCTTTGCCATAACCTTTTGTTAGTTTTTTTGTCAAACGGTTTTATTTAGCTTGCCCAATTTGTTTGGGTCAAAAGGCATAACCAAAATTGGTGCCTTTCGTTTTTCTGGCGGCAATCGATGATTTGTGAAAAGTATTATCTAGAATGACATTACAAACGAAATTATCTATAGGCTCATATATGGAAATGTCAGTCTGGACTGAGTTATGAGCATTGAAAGGAGTTGGAGTTGAACATTTTATATTGCGAGTGTTATTCAAATTATTCATATTTTTGTCACAATACCTGACCTTAAATTGTGGGCCACTGTACGCCTGGCACAAGTACACCATATCACACCAGAATATGGATGATATGCCAGGCACTAATTTTTGTCTATTTTCTCTCAGTCGACAACTTGTACGATGCTTCAAGGAGTTGTGTAATGATCGTTCGTGAGCGTCAGCATCGATACCAGTGGTGGGTTAAGTCGTAGTAGCCGCCCAAACATCTAACAAAGTACTATTTTTTTGCCGTTTACCCTTGATTCGAAACTAATCTACTTAATGGTTAGCATAATATTTTGAACAAAGGGAATCATCCGCTGGTCGTGAAGTGATAGACTATACGTCAAATGAGGGCACAATTATTTCATATTAACTCGTCGAGTACCGGTTTCGTAGACACAATTATAGAACAATAGGTTGCGGTCACCGGTGACCGCTTGGTGTTTGACAGTTTAATTGTGTGATCAGTCGAAAGTATAATCCATCACTTTTGACGTTGTCTTTCTATAGAATGTTATGCTAACTATAGATTAATTCTAGTTATAATAGTTACTAGTCGAGGAGTCGACAGAAAAATGTTTTTTTACGTGTTTTGACGACTGCCCCTACTCAATTCGCTATTGGAGCCGTAGTTGATCAACATAGCATTTAATTATAGGGCTCAGTGAAGTATTTTGCGGGTTTTCAACTGAGAGGAAATTGGTCATGAAAATCTGTCATAGGTCATAACCCATACTTAAAGTGAAGACACTAGCCAATCACGCGGGAAACCTTTTTTATTTACGCAGTGGCTGGTTAAAAGTTTATTTGTTTGAACCACACTCTGTTTTAACTCTGTGGCATTATAAAAACAAAAAAAAAGTAAAATAATAAGCATTGTTTTATTCCTTGAAATCATTTATAAAATATATCTGTTGTAAATGAAGAAAATATGCATTGTGTTGGGTCACCATCAACAGAACATCACACCTTTGAACCAATTTAAATCAGTTCAGACTCAGTTTTTGAAGACCCCATTTATTTTTATTGTTTGTTATATTATTTTACATAAGTTTTTTCACATCCGATCAACTGCCGCAAAAATTAAAAAGGCACCACTCTCCATACATTGTCATTTAATAAATATGTAATTGGAATTTTATCCATTTCCTGACAGATTGATCTGATACTTCGTACACATAGTTGATATTGATGATTAAAGCATATAATATATGTAATAATATTTTTTTTCTGATTGTAAAGCAAAGATGTCCATTGATAGTAGATTACTCTATATTATTCTATATGGATATCACATGAAGCTTGATTGGTTGAAGAGAGATTATTAAAACCGTTTAACATAAAAATAATTCTATGTATATATGTTTGTCCTTGTTTATGATATTATGAAATATGTTTGTATGATTGTATAATAGATAAAATTATGCAAAGATAATATTAGGTATCATTACTTACGCACTGAGGAGACTTGTTTAACATACTGTACAGCTATTCTTTTCAAGTAATCTGCATGTTCTTCCGACACAAACAGTGCCATAAAGTTATGTGACACATAGGGCTCTAGTTTTAGGGGACAGTTTGGAGGATCTCCCACCTTCTCCACAACATGTTTTACTGCTTTTCCTAGTTGCAAGGAAGTTTCATCTGGAGCCTAAATCAATAATTTCATTATTTACTAAAGGAATTTTTTAGATATCCTGTGCTCCATCTAATGGCCACAATGCCACATGATCTAGTTAAGTCATTATTAAAATATTATTATAATATTACTGTGTCTTGCGATCCGAGCATTGGCTACATTCAAATTATTTAATTCCAAAATAGCATGAGTGTTTCATTCATTGACATATCTATAATCACTCCTACATTATTTCAAACAAAGTGTGGGTACTTATAAATAACTTATTATGTTAAAATTAGATTGTTAACTCGTCGAGTACCGGTTTTGCAGACACAATTATAGAACAATAGGTTGCGGTCACCGGTGACCGCTTGGTATTTGACAGTTTAAATTAAGAATTACTTATACCGACCTTAAAGAATGAAACAAGAGTAATATGAGGCGGGAAATTGTGTGCTCCATTCCAACCGGAGATTTCTTTAGATTTGTCCCAGAACTCCAGGAGCTGGCTCAACAAGGGTCCAGTAGGACTGGCATAGAAGATGTATTCCCTTGGTTCATCCGAATCAATATAGGCATCATTCACATGAGTCAGAAGCCAATCAGACGCCAATTGGACACTGCGGTTGCCTGTCGCAGACAGTGCTTTTAATCTGCAAAATGTTTTATCGCAATTTTATTACGGGTAGGAGTTTTTTTTTTAAATTAACTGATTCCAGCTGTTGGTCTCAACTCAAGAAGTAGCAGGTCTAAATGATTTTTAAAAATTAAATATAGTTTAATAAAGGGAAGGTTCTAAAACCACGATAAAAAATAATTTGAATATTTTTCTTACGCCCGGTGTCTCGGAAATCCCATTTGCAAAAGAATTTGAAGAGGTGAAGCATCTTGTTTTGCTTTACTCGAGGAAGACACTTTACGTGGTGGAAGATTTGCCATTTTCACTATATGACTTTGTAAATTACACCAAACTCGACGCATTAAAAAAATCCACGAAAAGTAAAATGAGTAAAATCGCCATCAAACAAAGTTTATAATAGGTACCTACCTACCGAAAATTGAAAATACTGTCAATTTTTTGCTGTCAAAGTGTCAAATCGCTGTCAAATAACCATTGACATTTCTTTTTTTTTGTGAACAAAGGTGAGCATTTCCTTCCACTTGTAAAACTATAAATCTTAAAAACTAACAGAGAGATTATAAGAAAACATTTCATTTGATCGCACAATATTTCTGAGGCCAATCGCTAACTTAATAACTATAAAACCTACATAAAAAAAAACAACTATCAGCTGTCTTCAAAGTCAAATTGAAACTGACTGTCAGTGTCACTTCATTCATTTACTATTTGTTGATAATTTCGAAAGTAGCGTTGTTTTCTGATTACTTAATTAACTATTTTCGGTACATACATAGCCTTTTACTTTTTTGAACGGAAGTAATTAAAGTTTAAGATGTCGTATAAAAAAGAAGACTTAAAAATATATTGGAATAAGATAAACTATGCTTTTCCAATACTCAATGACACTATTTTCACCGACTGCAGTAACGCCGAGTACGAGGAGATACAACAAATAATTGTCGGTCTTGGCATTCAAATTAAAATACGAGATCTGGTATTCGTCCACATTGAAAAGCATCTGCGGCAACATGTTGCGCCTTCGTTTTGGTCGAAGTTTGTTAAAACTGAAGAAGATGTGAAGGGGTTTCAGCTATTCAAGTCTGCTGTAAATGACTTATACGACTCTGTTTCCCAATTCTCAGGAATACTCGAAAGACTGACCATATTAAATAATAGCTGCAGTGATGGCAAGCCAATTTATGGAGAAAAGGATGTTATTTCGGGATTCAAACAACTTGTGAGAGCAACTCTACTGGCACAATTACCACTGGACTTTCAAGTCATCATCAATAATTTCTATAAAGTTTCCTTCAATGTATTTGATTACGAGTATGAGAACAATGACATGGGTGAAGATGTCATGTGTAATGGATGTTTGAACGAATGCTCAGACTGCAACTGTATGTATATAGTGAAGGTGTTCCATGACACCAACAGAAAACTGATGGAGTTGCAATTATTAGAGAGACTGACTGGTCAGGTGTTGACTAACTTCATTCAAATGAGAATAGAATCTCACATTCAAAAACTCTGTACAGGCACATTTGATGTATCACACATAGAATTTCTGGAAAATTGGCTTAATACTAATGTCATGTCTTGGTTAACTAGAATATACTGTAGTGGCTCCTCTAAACCATCTCCTGATGATTCAAATACTCTGAATGCTATATCCAAGTTTAAACAAAAATTAAGTTACTACTTATATCATAGCTACACTAAACTAAGGATAGACCAACTTTTTAACATAATAATAGAATACCCAGACTCCCAGCCAGCTGTGGATGACATTAAAATCTGCTTGGAAAAGACTGACCTGAGATCTACTTTATGTAAGAGCTTACAAAGTGCCCTGGAAACAAGACTTCTGCACCCAGGTGTGAACACACCTGATATCCTAACTGCTTATGTGACCACCATCAGGGCTTTGAGACATCTTGATCCATCGGGAGTTATCCTCGAAACAGTCACTAAACCTGTTAGAAATTATTTAAGGAATAGAGATGACACAGTGCGCAGCGTTGTTAGTAGTTTAACAGAAGAAGGGGCAGGGAGTGAGTTAGCTGAAGAACTGGTCAAGTTTGCAGCAGAAGCTGAAGGTGACAGTGATAAAGATGAGGCATGGGATGAATGGAACCCCGATCCTGTCGATGCTGACCCAACAGTTGACGCAAGTGATAGAAGAGCTAATGATATCATATCAATGCTTGTTAATGTGTATGGCAGTAAGGAATTGTTTGTAAATGAATATAGGACGCTACTTGCAGACAGATTACTAGCACAAAGTGCCATCAACACGGAAAAGGAAATCAAATACCTGGAATTATTAAAATTGAGGTTTGGTGAATCCCAACTACACTTCTGTGAAGTCATGTTAAAAGATATATCTGATTCCAAAAGAATTAATGCACTAATACAACAAGATAAAGAAATAGAAACTTTGAATAGAAAGTTTACATCCAATGCAATGATCTTATCTGCACAGTTCTGGCCTCCTTTCAAGGATGAAAGCTTGGAGTTACCAGAGGAAATAAAACGCCATTTAGAAGCTTACACAAAATCATTTGAAGCTTTAAAGGGGAATAGGACTCTAAGTTGGAAACCACATCTTGGGAATGTGAATATTGAAATCGAAATTGGAGAGAAAAAATTAGACTTAACAGTGTCACCGTTTAATGCTACACTGATATTGCATTTTCAAGATAAACCAGAGTGGACATTAGATGAGCTTCATCAGGTTATGAAGGTACCTGTGACAATTTTAAGACGAAAAATAACTTACTGGCAATCAATGGGCCTGATCACTGAAAAGAGTACAGACCTGTTTGTATTAGTGGATGGTTCTGATGGAAACAAGGCTAACGTAGCTACAAATCAAGTCCAGGAAATGATCTGTGAGGACGATGAGACGGAGAGTGTAATGGCTTCAGCACATGATCAGAGGGAAGGAGAGCTGCAAGTCTTCTGGTCTTATATTGTTGGTATGTTGACAAACTTGGATTCTTTGCCACTGGATAGAATTCATCAGATGCTTAAGATGTTTGCATCTCAAGCCCCTGGTACTGAATGTAGTCTACAAGAACTCCGGCAGTTTTTGGACACCAAAGTGAGAACCCATCAACTTGTTTATCAAGGAGGAATGTATAAATTACCTAAGACATAATTAACTAATATTTACGTATCAATGCTGAATAAACAAATTATTTTACAATTTAATTGATATATTTCAAGACTTGTTTTTTTTAATTCTTTTTTCTATGAAATTCAGTAGGCACAACTTTCTATAAGACTAATTGCTAGCGTATTGGAAGCACATCCCTAACCTTTGAAACGCCACGGTCAGCTACAGCCTACAAACAAAATAGAATGTGTATGTCACTGTCGGCCACAGCCGACAAGAAAACACGAGTTTTAATTTAAGTTCATTTAGTTTGTCAGCTATAGCCGACCGCTGTCGAAGGGTAAAATCAAATATTTCTGTAATTGTACAAAAACAAAACAACTTGAAAAAGTTTAACGAAACTTTATTTTTACATCATTTTAAATATAAAAATTTGGTTACATTAGATAATGTCTGTGGGTTAATATCTGGATTACTTATTTTAAGTGACAATTGAAGCCATTTCAATCAACAAATACTAGCAATAATAAATTAGCTGTAATAAGTTATAAGTAATACCACCACACTATTTTTAATAAAATATAACATTTTAATACTTAGTGTTTGCAATACATAATCTTGTGTCAGTCTTAACAACTATAAAAATACTGTTTAAAATTAAAATGTGGAAATAATCATTCGATTAATAAATAATAATTAAATACTATTAAAATAATGAATAATAAAAACTAAGAGATACTGAGAAACAATACAGATTCTTCAAAAATATTTTGAATGGAATGCATCAGATTAGTTGATGTGAGTACCACAGGTAAACGATAAATGCAAGTCGATTGTTACACAATATTATCACCACGCTATCTCTTTTCTAGAAGAATAACGAAAGATCCGAAATTTCTTATTAAACAGAATGGAATGTAGTTAAAATATGAATAGAAATCTCAGTAGGTGTAAAGCCGAAATAATTAAAATGAACATTTGATACCAATATACAGATAAGGACGGCAGAATCAACCTAACGACGTGGAATATCTCCGGAAACACCTATGAGACCAGACTAGAGCATCTTGTAGGATATATTGTGGAATAATGACATGGACAACGAATATTTTATTATTAAAATTTACCTGCTTACTATCGTGTACATTTTAGCCTGATTTACAAAGTCCTCTCTAAACAAAAATAAATAATAACAACGAACGGGACTTGATTTAACTTCAATTATGCAAATAAATAGTAATTGTATAAACAAACCTACAACAGTTAAAGCTCTACATCTAGTTTACATATGTACAGAAACACCAATGTTATGTCGAATGATTGCTGATAACAGTTTGTATATCTCCAAGACATTTACATAAAAATATTTTGTTAAAACGTTTAACATTTTAACACTACAGTTTGCACACTTCAAGCTAACAGCAAGCATGTACATTACATTTTAAATGCAAGACTCTACAGATATTAAAAGCTTACAAAATATTAAGTACACGAAAATTCCTTTAAGTCCGTTAAGTAGTGCTATAATCTCTCGATGGACGAATTAACTTAAGATACAGAGTGGAGTCGTTCACAGAAACATTTCAACTGTGACCGGCCTATACGTTGCATAGCATTGTAGGCGGGTACTGGCTGGTACAAGTGGACAAACAGAATAGCGACGTGATACCTCGATTATTTATTTTTGTCATTAATATTCGATGAAAAGTGAGTTGGGTAAACATAGATAAGTTTTAGTTTGACATAACCCCGTCTACTAAATCTAACTGTTACGCACCATAATAGCTTTTAGCGACCGATTTTTTCTTGATCGGTATTGCATAAAGCACCGAGGTCCGTAGGCAATGTATGACTTTTCACACAGCTACATAGATGGGACTTTTTTTTATTAAGTTTTATTAAGTAATCGCATCCAGTAAAGCTTCAGACGGACTTGCCATGCCTCTATATGTGGTATGTGACGTAAACATTTTCGCCACTAAAACAATCGAGTGGTGCTCGAGTTTGATGACTGGATGTCGAATATCCTAGGAAGCTGTGTACATGGAGAGCTCCAGCTCTGCTCACCGGTTGCGGCGGGAGGCGGGGGCAGGTGCGGCGAGGGGGGGCGGCCCCGACAGAGGGGGAGCCGTGTGGGGGGCGGGATGCGCGGTTTGAGGGGGACGCTTGAACGGACCCAGACGCTTAGAGGGCCGCGGGGACACGCCATGGTTGTCTCCACCTCCACTCCAACCACTAGCGCCGTGATCCAGCAAGGCTGCGGCAAGTCGACCCGTGCCTTGATCTGAAAAATATAATCGATCAGTCTTTAAA